GTACTCACAAATGTGTTTATATTCAGGTATAATTTCACGAATAATCTCACGGATTTTGATATTAGAGGGTTATCTATTTAACATGGCATTTTTTGTATACTTTATTGATGACGCAATATTATCACGGTATAAACGACTGAAGATCATTCGTGGTTATGAAATGGTGCTTAAATTCTTTAATTGATGCATGAATGTATTATTGTTACTTACAATGATTTTATTGCTTTTCCCGTTTTATTCCTACACAATAACACCAAATGCAAAATAGGCGCCAGACATAAGAGTTGCGGACACCATCCATACCCATAATCTATCACAAAGTTAGAATTAAATTGCACTTGAGACATTGTTTTTTAAATAATTAGAGACGTAGCATTAAATATTTTCCAGTGTGTCAAATGCTAGCTTGTACTTAGATATCGGCAATAGGCATTGAACAGCCTTGTATTTGAGAGCTATATGCGACGCGAAGCGTCTTAAGCACTAAATAGGCTTTCTTCATTTTTTTAACATCAACTAACACTGTACGATCGGAGCACTTATACAAGTTAAACACCATTTTAATAGTTCAAAGTATTTTGTTAGAGAAGAATGACAGATAAGTTTTATTGGGGTGTGTAATGTGTGCTATAAATATTACTCACATAACGCTTAATTGGCATAATTTTACTTCCTATAAACTCATTTAATATAGTAATTCACTCCATATAACCAACGTTTAATATAAACTTACAGTTTATAATTTAATATTTTATAACGTTCATCTATGCTAACACTCACTTTTATTAACAACCGTGTTATAAACCACAGTTAACGTAACGTCATATTATCTAAATTTCAAAAATCTAGAAATAGGATTATTTCCGAAAAACGATATCTCACAAGATGGTTCGCGACAGAAGGAATTTTTATTGGATATACAACCAGGTATTAATACACCTCGTCGTGGTGAATGTTCACCGATCCCACTGCGCCGACTCAACCGGCCAGAGCCGTAGGCCCTCCAGTCTGGAGGGAGAGTCCCCACATAACCCCTGAGTCTCCCTGTGGTTAAAGGGTACCTATAAAGATTTAGCCCGTCAAATAAAAAGGTATTAATATACCTAATAATTTTGACACTGAACTAGATATTTTTCGGTTGCTTCTCGATCTAAATATTATTGATCTTATGGTACAAATTAACAACGCCAACAAAACTATGTCGAATGCCATGTTACATGAGACTCACAAAATGGACTGACTGTGCCGAAGAAGAAATGTGGAAGGTTCTATAGATCTGCTTATTTACATGAGTCTCAAAAGTTGCCACGAATTAGCGACTACATAATAAGACTCACAAACAACTGACTAGCAAGATGTACACACGTTTTAGAGAGAATCTCTGCCTGCATGATGTTGGGAATGTCCGCCAAGCCCAACCAAGCAGTACAGCCACGGCAACGTGATCATCTATTTAGTAAATCATTACTGTGTGACGAAAGAAACAGACGAGTTCGTAGAAAATATACATTGCTGTCAGAGAAAACGTGCAACAGGGTTTTCAGCCATTGTAGCCAGAAATAACAAAAAGAAGGTGAACATTGTGTGTCGGGTATGTTATTGTATTAAATTTTTGAAAAAAAGATACATTTTTGCTAAGTAACTTGTTACCTGGCGATGTTTCTATAAAGGCGTGTGTTTACCGTTCGACGAGCTCATAGTAAATTTGTAAAGTTTGTGAGGTGTCCTGCGCGCCGCCCACATGGGCTGCTAGGTCACAAAAATCGTTTGTTCTGTAGCGCTGAGAGTGTTAAACGATTTTATCATCATCGTCATCCTCATATCGCCGGAAGACGTCCACTGAATTTTATGATTTGGCCTGAAAATATGTTCGGAAACGCAAACAAATTCGTACCTGGCAATACTAATAATACTGGCCGCTGGGGCGACACACTCGCTCGGTTCGTGGTGCTTTTTCATGTTTTAGCCTAACCTAATCTACTGAATGGGAGCCGCAACCAAGATTTGCCCTTCTTTTTATAATGATAATAAGTGAAGAGACCAACAAGTCGTGCGCTTGCCAAACACACGCCTGACCATATCAGTTACAGTGCTACTCAGAACTTTAAATCGCAATGATAAGGAGGTTCATTGCGTATGCGCCCATCACCCTGAGACATAAGTTGAAAAGTCCCATGTGCCTGTAATTTCACCAGCACCCTTCAAAACCGGAACACAGTAATGATCACATTACTGCTTGGCGGCAGAAATAGGTAAGGTGGCAGTACTTCCCTGGATGACCTCTTTCACAAAGAGCTCTACTGCTCTACTGACCCATGTAAAATACGTTTTTTTAAACCACCAAGGAATCCAGTGTCTAACAATAATAATTTTGTCGAAATGCATCAGCATTCTAAACTATATCATGGAAAACAACTCTTCCTCCGCACAACTATCGAACAGACAAGCACCATGGCGAGTCGGGTTTAAAATTATTATTTATAAAAAGTGACATTATACCACGTAAAAATTGTCTAAATTGACATATATGAAATGATTGTTACGAGCTTATATATATTTTTTTTATATAACGTGAATGTTATATCAAACAAGAATTATATGAAGTTAAATTATAGGAAGTGAAATTGATCCAAATAAAAATTATGTGAAATGAACGGTATATATTTTGAAATTAGTTTATTTAATTTTCGTATAACTGAGGCGTACCCGTTTTAATGAGGTCTTGTTCCAGGTCGGTGCCGCTTTATTCCATCTCGCGAACAAAAACTGCTGCAACTACCAAAAATGTTGTTTCAATTCATGACGACGAACACAGCTATTTACGAGGTCATGTTATTAGAGGTAGGCTTTCAGAACATTTTTTTTGACAGGCATATTATATATTATAATTTGGTATATTTAAGCGATTACCTACATATGGCGCTATCTCTCGAGTTTGTTATGAATATTAAGTGGCGTGGTAGTCGAAAGCGTATCCCGGTAATGGAGCAGTCGCTTGCGGGGAATCCTTATAAAAGTGAGCTTTCGTCTAATTTTCGAATAATTTCCTCCCGGGCAGACAGTTCAACTTTAGCTTTAGAGCCAAGCTTGAAAGTGCGTTCAGCAAATGTACCGCAGATTCGAGCATATCACTGAACGCTTCAGCCGCTTCTGATTCCTGCCCACTGGCGCCGTCTTCTTCGATGTGGCAAAACGCTTCGACAACATCTGGCAAGACGGCTTACTGTACAAACTGTATAATCTCGGTGTGACCGATCGTCTTGTGCATATTACGGGAGACTTTTTGTCAAATCACTCCTTCCGCTATCGAGTAGAGGGCGCATTTTCTTCTCCTCAACTCTTACGAGCCTGAGTTCCGGAAAGCTATGTCCTTTTGCCCCTCCTATTCACCCAGTATACTAGCGACTTACTTACTAAAGTATCACTCAGTAAATCTCGCTCTCTTTGTCGGTGACATAGAGCTATATTATTGGAGAACAACCCAAAGTTGGTTTCCGCGACTCTCCAATCCACCACCATACGCCTAGGCGAGTGGCTTCGCAAATAAAGAATCGAGGTTAAGCAATCTGTCCAGCCGTAGAGTACAAAACTTAACTCCAATCTCACTCTTCAGCCGCTCAATTCCTTAGTAAAACACGGACAAATATCTAAATATTGAAATTGCCGTTCCAGGCACACGCGAAAACCGTCCGCGATCGCACCCAATTTGTCGTGAGTCGCGTCCACTCCTTCCTCAATAAGCGTATTAAGCACTCACTTACAAATAAGCTGAGACTACACAGCTTTCATGTGCCACATTTTAATTTACGGCAGTGTCGTTTTCGCACAGGCAAATATCAACCGTCTGCAGGCCGACGCGATGGGGGCACCATAGTACTTGCGCACCGCCAACTGTTATTTTATAATATGATTATGTGGTAGATCGTATACAATTGTTCATGTAGGCAATTATTGTGTTCTTATCGATTTCTTTTCCAGGAAAGAATCTATACCCATTTTCTGCTGCACTAGTGGCTGTGTGGGATACTCTGGCTATGATATTAGGTGCTAAACCTCGTTATAACACCGTGGAGTTTAGAGACGTTTACCTGTACGCGATGCCGCCAATACACGAGCAGAGACGTCTCCAGCTTAGCGTTACGTTGCAAAGAGGAACTGGTCGTTTTGAGGTAATTAAATACTGTACACAGATATGGTAATTCGGTATATTTCGTACCGTGGGTGTAGAGACACTGCTTGTCGATGCAAATTGGCGATATTAGTTTATTTTGATCTATTATGAAACCTGCATGTACTTCGAACATGCATCCTGTACTTGATAGTTGATTTAACTAATAGCGTAATTGAAATAAATTAGTAATTTAGTGTTACTACATTTTTTTTTGTTCCTATAATAACAGGTTATGGATAACAATAGGCAAGTAGCTCGCGGATTCATACTCAATCAACTCAAGGAGAATAAGAAAGCATTTATTCTGTCCTTCGAATCTAAAGAGAAGTTAGAATTCAAATGTGAAGATGTTTATAAGATGCTGCAAGAGAGAGATTATCAGTACAAGTTAGTTTTACGACATTAACTTTTATACGAAATACTATATAATAATAATTTTTATCATTAGCTTGATTTTCGCATTGATACTTTATAATTCTTTTCAGAGACGAATTTCGCTCTATTCACAAAGTTAATCCAACTTTCACTGAAGCTCAAATAACGTGGAATAACAACTGGGTAACATTTTTAGATGGTATTTTACAATTACATATTCTTAGAGGCACATATGATTCTGTTTGCCAGCCTTACCAATTAAGACGACTCACCATCGACATCAAAGAGCATTTTAATAATAAACTTTTGACTACTGATAATAAAAGCGTTATGCTTGCAAATATATTCGTAAATGACCTTACCACTCGATGTGGAGGAGTGGTAATAGAAGACATTCAATTACGTAAGTTGCCTGTACACGATGAAGGGACTGCGGCATTAAGGATATTGAGATTTATACCTCGTTTCTTGTCTCATACTGACGTAAGTAAACTTTACTGTGGAAATATAAAAATCACTTAAAAAAGGTACACAAAAGAAAAATGGTTTTGTTTTAATTTTAGATTTGTACAGCAATAGAAGTCTACCTACAAATAGTGTCAGAAAACATTAATAAAGATGCTATAACAGTCGTGGGACTTTTTGATTCTCAAAAATATTCCAATGTATTTGAAGTTATGAGAGACATTTATGATGATATACCTGGACTGATTGTAAATTATGAGGATGCTACAGGGGAAAAGATTTTAGAAATGAGGGACTACTTTTTGACTGATGTTGATCTCGTTTTAGTGCAAAATCTTGCAGCAGATGAAAACGTACGTACGAAATGTACACAATGCCAGTACTCGTATTACTTTATAAAATTACCACCTGTGTGTTGACGTTCCCTAGATTGAAATACACATATTTCTATGCTTTTTTTTCTGTAACGTTTGTTACTTAGTTCTATTAAAACAAACTTCAATCAAATTTACTGCATAGTATTGTTATTGCGATTTTATTTTCTAGTTACGTCAAATGCTTTACCATGTCCTTCCTCGCGACATATTCATTATAAGCATCGAAGAACCTATGGCCAATGCTCCGCAGTTAACTTTATACAACGTTGTGTCTACACAAAATGTTAATAATTCAAAAATAGCTTTGGTGAAGTGGAGACCCGTGGATACAACATCGGCCACCACTGTGGTTACAGTGCGGTCTGAATTAGAATTGAGTAATTTAACAGCAACTTGGATGAAATTGCCACAGAGACATAAGCTCGTAATAGTGTCACCGTATCCTACAGTACCAGGACTGAAAGACTTTGTAAAGGACAAGAGAAAAGACTTAGATCATAATCAAATATTTCTGGTCATGACGTCAGAAAAGGAAACTCTATATCACATACCTGAATTGGAATTGACATACAGCGTATTAAAAAATGTAAAGTATATATTACATAATTGAATAGTGTATATCACTCAACACAACGCTTAACTCACTGTCTTATTTGATTTGTAGAGTATTTGGGGAGGAGAATACTACATAAAATGGCGAGAAAACGTGTCGACCGTGGGAGGGATTACTCTTCGCAGTGGAGCAATTGGCAACCTCGATACTTTGCGCTGGTTCGAACAAGCAGAATCTACAGAATCTGGCATACCAGTGACGGTAATTATTTCAAGTGTAATTAATTTACGATGGTTGACAAAAGTAAACGTTAACTACATCTTCCCACTTCCCTTACGTACCTAACGCGTGGCTGTTTACCGCAAACATAACAAAGAAAAAACCTGTAAATCTGAAAGAAAACCAAAAATAGTCTTTGTAATGCATAATTTTCAAAAAGTGTAAATATTCCTACAGGTACATTATACAGCTATAAACAATCTCGACGTTAAAAAGGCCACAGGCATATCAGCATTATATAGCCAAAATAAATCATCTGATGCTAGTTCTTATGGCATGGACTTCAGCGGAGTTACTGATTGGTAAGTTTATAACTATACGATCCCTATACCCTACATCTGGCGTCGAGCTTGGCCTGTGGAGCGTGGTCGAGTTTAAATTACGGGGTGTGCTTATACTGCGTAATGTGCTATACCTGGAGCTCGACGAGCCGGTAGTAACGAATGGTATGATCAATAAATAGAAGAAATGTCGAATTTAATCATTGAAATGTCATATTATTTAGCGTCTCTATAAATTCTAAACACAATTATAGTATTATTATTAAGGCGATGAGGTGCCCAAAATCGCTTAAATGTGGTGTTTTTGTGTAAGTTTTTAGGCGATAACATAGCACGTGGAACTTTGAAAATAGTACATCCTGTAACACGTATCTTGAATTGTAGCTTGAAAATCCTAGAATATTCCTTATTGTCTTAGTTAATATAAAACTGGATTACAGTGAGACTCTGGTGGTTATTTTTTGACATATTCGTCTCGGGCAAACCAAACTTGCTTACTACCAAATTTGGTGTGGTTATTGAAATGGTATTTATCTTAATCCTGACACTTTATTTAGTTTAAATAAACGACAAATAACAAATTTAGGAGTAAAAAGTAACTTTCGTCTACTAAAGTACGAGCTAAATATTTGCTTGCAAATTATGGACAGGCACTTAACAGTGTGAAAAAATATCATACACAAAAAAATACGTAAATAAGTAAATATAATGCACCAATTCGTTGAAATCAAAACAAAATATTTAAAAAAAGTCAAATTTAGCCATTAGGTGAGAATAAAAAAAATATATTTTTGGTTGGATTAGAACCTAAACTAAAACACAAAGTATTCAAAACAAAAATGAAATTATTGTTTGCGTCCTTGGTTATTTAGTAAAATTGCAACGTTGAAAACTTCTGCTGCGTAGCTTGCGTTCGTGGGATACGTTGCCGGACCTCTGTTTTGGTTTTGGCAAATTAATTTATATAGTATTCATTAGTATTGTAATCGGCTGTCTACCGTCGAGTACGATACTTACGAGATATGTAGTTGGACATAGTTATGCAAACTATAACCAACTCACAAAATGTCACTTTCGAGATAATAAGATTTTTGTAAAAAAGTGTGAAGAAATAAATAGGTAAGTTATTTCAGACTAGAGATGCGCCGAGTACTCGTTTGCTACTCGGTACTCGATGTACTCGGTCGAATAACTCGGTTCATGAGAAGAGTACTCGGTTAAAATAAAGTATCACAGCTATAGACATAATAAAGTGAAATCAACAATATATTTAAAATATTCAAAAGAGATTTATTACTAGAAATTGTAGACAATTGTAACAATTTCTAGCAATTTAGTAATTTAAAAAGAAAGTTTACATTATTAACATTTAAAATTTAACAAAGGCAAGTTATGATGTTGGAATATTTACAAGGCTTTCTGCGCGTTCAGGTAAGGTCTTGTTCCTTTTTTCTTCATACACATTACCCGCTTCGGCAAATAACCGCTCGCTATACACAGTGCTTGCAGGTGCACATAAAAACACTCGTGCTAACTGTGCCAGTTTTGGATATTTTGTTTTATGCTCTGCCCACCATTGGAAAGGACTCTGCTCTCGCGACAATAAACTTTCATTCACATATCGGCCTAATTCTAGAGCAACGGGGGCTTTTAGGATCATCGCGTTCCGGTTGTAATGAACCGAGTACTCGGCTCGGCAAATGTTAAACTGAGTAATATTCGATACTCGGTTAATCGGTAAAACTCGTACTCGGCATCTCTATTTGAGACAACGATGTACTGTAGCAGTGAGAACGATATAGGGAAACTATTATATTATATAGCAATAAATAGAGAACATTATGTATCTTTTTATTTAGTTGACGAGAACCATGTTCTAGTTTTCGTAATGAAAACGCCAAAGATCTACAGTACTTCAGTACATGTGACATGGATCCGTTTAGCATATTTTAAAAAAGACATTATATGAAGTTAAGCAGCATGGTTGTTTTTAGCTATTAAAAAGTTACTTATTTAGGGTTGGTACCCTGAAGGACTTTTATTTTCTCCGTTTTGGCTTGGTATGTTGCCAGGATCTTTTGTGAGCGGGTAAAGGACACGTCTGGTGTTCTACCTAAATACATAACTCAATTTCATTCGAGGTGGGGGTTGTTTCGTGTTTGCATAACATGTCCAGTTCGTATATGCTTTGATATTTTTTGGTTTGATAGCATGTGTGTATTTTAAGAACAACGCCATCTGTTAGCGGCATTTAATATTATGTTAAATCAAGCGGAAGGTTCAACTACCATAATCTTACCGCATCGGGGCGTATGGCGCCACCTTATTGGAGAAATTATAGTAAGCGCGTTATCGCTCAAGGTCATCGACGCAAGGTCATCGACGCTTGTCAGCGTCTTAATATAATTGACGTAGTTATTATACAAATTGATCATAATTATTATACAAAAAAGTGATATACAGCCCCACAGTTGCTTCTTCCTTTTCCCATCGATATTTATCGAAAAGCGGACTATACTGAAAAAGCAAATAACATGCAATGTCTCAAATCGTGTTACACAATTACGGCAATAGAGGTAGGTGGGTTATTTTATTATTACCTACCATACAACATCTTATGCTGTTGTAATTAGTATGAAGTTAGACATGACGCAGCCGTGCAGTGGGCAGGAAATTCTTAAACTCCGGCGCACGTCTTTGCTTTGTCCGTACCTTTCCAAATTCAAATCTCTTCGAGTTTGCCGCTAAGACACCAGAAGCGATTTCAACTTTATTTTATAAGCAATACAGTGGAGTATTGCTTGAAGATGATCAACGTATGTTTAAAACCAATACTAAATTGCGTCATTTAACATCCAAGAAAATTAATCGAGCGGCTTGTTGTATGGACTGCCAGTTACAATACCCGTGGTTCTAATCCAGGAGCACTATTTTGTTTTAACGTTATATTTTTAACAGCATTGTTTCACTTTTTAATGTTAACCTTAGAATAATAACGCATAGAATGATAGTTTCATATCAAACGAACTGTCACAAGTGAGGCAAAAATCAAATTCATGTAGGCGTAAGCAACTTGTATTTACGCTCGTCGGCAAGAAATACACAAATAATGATGCCATGGAATAACATTTCCCTCAAAAGTGGGGAAATTGTATCTTGCTTAACTCATCATTAAGTTAAAGGTGCCTACAGATTTGCTCGATTTTGATGCTCGATTTTGTCGATCGTTACTGTTGATCGACAACATCAAGTGACAGGAATTTTCAAAAAATTATTTTTGGTAATCCTTATGGAAATGGCACTTATATCTGAATACACGAAGGCGGACACGACTTTTCTCATTTCTAAATCCAAGATGGCGGACACGCAAAATGGGAAACCTTTTCGAGGTATTCGAGGTGCTCATCAAGAATATGGCATTTATTTCTGAATCCTAGATGGCGGACACGACTTTTGAAAGAAAAGCAATATGGGTATCATTTTCAAGGTATTTGGGGGTGCTCATTAGGAATATAGCACTTATTTCTAAATTCAAGATGGCGGACATGACTTCAAATAATAGCAAGTTGTGTGTCGTTTTCGAGGTATTTGGGGGTGCTCATTAAGAATATGGCACTAATTTCTAAATCCAAGATGGCGGGCACGATTTTTCGAATAATAGCAAGTTGGGTGTCGTTTTCAACGTATTTGGGGCTGCTCATTCCGAATGTAGCACATATTTCGAAATCCAAGATGGCGAAGAATTAGAAGAAGAAGAATTAGAAGTCTTGCCCGCTATCTTGTCTTCCGATATACATGCCATTTCCTTATGGTTTACCAAAAATACATTTTTGAAAAACCTACATGCGAGCTTAAGTGCGACTATCGAATTTGAATATATAATTAGCCTGATATTATCTGTGGGTATGTTTACATGAAAAGTACACGATAACAATAAAGAACCTGAACCTGAAATTTATTTATACACGATTTTGGAGAACTGACTATGACTTTTTAGTCAGTGTTAGTTCCCTGTAATAATTTTAGTTACGAACTTTTGAGTCTGGCCAAGACAATTTTTTAAAATGAGTGTATGATGAACAAGAATAATGATTTTTCACATGAAACTAATACTAAATATATTTCGTAGAAATAGCTAACGTAAATTCCCGGCAATGTTGTTGCGGCGGTGTACATTTGTAGAAATTTTGCAACCGTCGCGATATTGCCTATTCTCAAAAAATTACGTAATATAATTATTTTGAAACAGAATAGCAAAATGGGGAGAAAAAACCCGTTACTTTGCAACATTTTCGTATCTTGTTGCAACGAAATTAATTTTCTGTTTTAGTGAATATTTACATAAAAATACAAGTTGAAACGCGTTACTTCCTTGTGGAATGTGATGTTAGTGTCTATTTTATGTTTGTCTGATCTATTTTTAAACCCAATTACCGCACATTTCGTCATTTTTAGCAAAAATCTTTGAGCTGTTTGCGGTACAACTTGACCTTGAGCACTGACTGCCCGCTCGCTCATGTAGGCCTATACGGCGTCCTACAATTTGCCTCACTTAGCGTGTGCGGGCTAGCTTTCTATGCGTTATTATTCTAAGATGTTAACGTTGACAAATCACAATCTTTGCTCACTAGAAATTGCCTAAGGTGGGTGGGTAGCTATTATTAATAAAGCGAAGGGTGGGTATGGATAGATTAAATCAGGAAATCGCTCTGCAGTTTGCATACGATCGTGTCTTCTGTAATTACGCATTGTTCCACGTTTCGATCCCATTTATCTATTCAGTTTTAATTACTTTCAAAGTTTTTTTTCTTGTTTTAATATACCGCACAAGTTTTTTTTCTTGTTTTAATATACCGCACTTAACAGAATTATTAAAATTATTAGAAATAATTGTTCTGTATGAACAAGACTTAGACATTCCTTACACGCATCCAGAGGTTAAAAACAAAAAAAACACAATATTATGTAGTCATAGCTAAATAATATTTTGTCTATAATGTGACTCGAACCATGCTTGCCTC